TGCTGCCACGTTGACCTTTTTTCCATTAGGAGATGACCGATGGCTCCACATGAAGTGAATTTATTCTGCCTGGGGTCTTAACATGTGTCATAGCCCTGACGGTGGGGCTGGCAGAAAGAGTCCACATTATGAAAGGACAATGTGACATCAGGCTCATTCATCAGGCCAATTTCTGAGTGCCTGCAATATGCCAGATACCCTGTTGGGGGCAGTCAAGAGTCTCTGTCCTCCTGATGCTTACCGTCTGAATGATTTCGTGAAAAATTAATAACTGTACAGTACATACTCTGTAAAACAAGCAAAGAACATGCAGAGAGCCCACAACCAGAGGCTCCAACCGGTCTGCATGACAGGACTGGCTTCCCTGATAAAGGGTGTGTGTTAGCCGATAGGGAAAGAATGAAGGGAGTTAGTCAGATAAGAGCTGGTGGACACTTCCCCCCGGGGGAAACTACATGGATACCCTGGAACAGGAGAAAGCAGGAGAAAAGACAAAAAAAAAAAAAAAAAAAAGATGTGTGTGTGAGATGAGCTGAGAATTTCAGACTCGATTCTGGGCGGGAAGCCACTGCATGGTTTTTGGGGGGGTCGGGGCAGGGAGGAGGGAATGGCGGATGATGCGATTTGCAGGTTTCAAAACTGTGATCGTATTGAGGACCACAGAGGTGGGGCAGAAATCACTCACGAGCTCCGTAATTCAACATTTAACATTCAAGGACTATGTCTTTTTTTTTCTGTGAATTGCGGCAAAATACACACACATGAAATTTACCATCTCACCCATTTGTTTCAGTGTGCATTTCACCGGCATTAAGCACATTCCGTTGCTGTACAACCATTACTAGTCTTTTCATCTTGCAAAACGGAAACTCTTTACCCATTAAAAAAATAACTCCCCTTCCCTCCCCAGCCCCTGGCAGCCACCATTTTCCTTTCTATCTCTATGAATTTGATGCTACTTGGAACCTCCTATCAGTGAAATTATACAGTATTTGTCCTTCAGTGACTGGCTTATTTCTCTCAGTATAATATCCTCAAGGTTTATCCAGGTGGTAGCCTGTGTCAGAATTTCCTTCCTTTTATGGGGGGCCTGGGTGGCTCAGTCGGTTAAGCATGCGACTCTTGGTTTTGGTTCAGATTATGATCTCATGGTTCATGAGTGTGAGCCCTATATCCGGCTCTGCACTGACAGTGCAGACCCTGCTTAGGATTCTCTCTCCCCTCCTCTCTCTGCCCCTCTTGCATTTTCTCTCTCTCTCAGAATACATAAACTTACAAAAAAAAAAAAAAAAGAATTTCCTTCCTTTTTAGGGCCGAATAATATTCCATTGTGTAGAGAGACCACAGTTATGTATCCACTCATCCGTCAGTGGATACTTGGATGGCTTCCACCCTTTGGCTACTGTCAATAATGCTGCCATGAACACAAAAATGCAAATATCTCTTTAAGTCCCTGCTTTTGAAAAGGGACTATATATACTCAAATAATTTTTTTTTAGTATATTCTCTCAAGTCTATTTCTTAAACTTCCTTTCCGGGAATGACACTAGACCAAACTCTACCGGGGTTTAGACAAATGAGTATCTCACAGTCTCTGCCATCCCCATGGAGACAGGAAACTTTAAAAACAGAACAATCTCCACTGAACTGGGCTACCGAAAGATAAGTAAGGTACACTGCAGCGAGCCACACGGGGGACAGAGAACCCAAATGAGAGGCTACGGTGACAACTCAGATAAGAAAAATCAGCGTCTTGGGCGCATGGGTGGCTCAGTCGGTTAAGCTTCCGACGTCGGCTCAGATCATGATCTGGTAGTTCATTGGTTTGAGCCCCACGTCGGATTCTGTGCTGACAGCTCAGAGCCTGGAGCCTGCTTCAGAATCTGTGTCTCCCTCTTTCTCTGCCCCTGCCCCAGTCATGCTCTGTCTCCATCCCTCCAAAATGAATAAACGTTTAAATAAGAAAAAGAAAAGAAAAAGCAGTGTCTTAAAAATTGTGACATCAGCGTGAATGGAAAGAAAGGCCGTTTTCTTGAGTTAGTGTAAGTCATGGCCAAAGGCCATGTGCTCTTGGCTGATTTCAGGATGGTGGGTATCTGAGCCCACATTGGGCCTCTCCCTTCAGACCATCAGCTTCTGTCAAAGGTAGAGGGTCCCCTCCTCTAGGGCCTCCTTCGATCTCTGGCCATTCCAGCCCCTGCTTCCTTGGGACCAGATGAAAGGCAGCCCAAGAAAGCCCCCACGGCAGCTCACACCGACTCAGAGCTCTTTGGAGCAGTGGCTTTGAAGGACAGACTCCCCGAGCAGGAAATCCCACTGGGCATCTAGAAGTCTCTGGGTAGCGCGGTCCCATTAGCTATTTTTAGTGTGCCTTTTAGATTTAGATACAGGCAGCATTCTGTAAAAACTCATTCTTTCTGCTCCCCTCAGGCAGAAAATTTCAATCCCAAACCTTCACGCTAAATGACACGATATTTGAGAATTTAGCTTATCTTCTTCCCTCATTGTTACCTTGCCATTCATACCTCTATGTATGCTGAAAACTCTGAATGTTATAGTCCCAGCTCAAGCAGCAGACAAGTGACAATTAATGAGGTCCCTAACTGTATTAAGATCATGACATCATTCCTGTGTAGGGGTGGGATGGGCTGGTTAATACAATATCATCTGTACACAATTGAGAGGTACAAACCTCAATGCCCACCCCCAAAAGTAGTATCCTAAGCTTAAGCATGAAATCCTCTAAGTGGGTCCTCAGATTCTGGGCTTATTTGAAAATATTTATTTTAGTATTTTTTCATGTTTATTTTTGAGAGAGAGACAGAGAGACAGAGACAAAGCATGAGCGGGGGAGGGGCAGAGAGAGAGAAGGAGACACAGAATCCGAAGCAGGCTCCAGGCCCCGAGCTGTCGCCACAGAGCCCAACGCGGGGCTCAAACTCATGAACCGTGAGATCAGGACCTGAGCCGAAGTCGGACGCTCAACCAACTGAGCTACCCAGGCGCCCCAGAAAATATTTATTTATTTTAAAAGAATTCTTTGGGAAGATGAGAAGTCTAGTTAATGAAACATTCTACCTTAACATCCTAGTCACTTGGTACCATCAAGGACTCAAAGAAATGGAGCCACATGACAAAAGAGACATCGATATTTCATTTACTTATTCTTCTTCAAAGACTCAGGGGGCTGACAAACGTCTGTACCTGGCGGCTTTCAGAAGCACTGCAGGAACACACAGACACAGGACATGGGGCTGGCTACATGCTGAGCTGGGAATATGACAGAATCTTATGCCTCCACATTTTTATTTTGCAAACTGTCGAATCTACAGAAAAGTTGAATGAGTCATGTACCATTCTAGGACATCGTGTGGCTTTCATCCAGATGTACTGGTAGATAATATTTTATCATATATGCTTCTTCTTTCTCTGGCTTCCCCCATATACACATTATATGTGTACGTATGTACACACACACACAAGTGTATATACACATATGCCAAACCGTTTGAAAGTAAATTGTAAGCATCACGGCACTCCACCTTAGATGCATCCGTACACATCTTCTAAGAACAAAACTGTCATCCTTCATAATCCCAGCACTATTACCACACCCAAGAATAAGAGCATCGACATGTTAAAGGGAAACTGTCAGAGAGGTACAATTTTGACTCTCATCCAGATATAAAATGACCATGTTTTAAAGATTTGATTTACCTCGTGGTTAACAAGGGCACTGTAAGATGTCACAATCAGTTCAAAAGAGGATCCAAAGGACCATCACATGTACAGGTGAGGAATGCTGAAAAGAATGAGCACTGGGAGGCGGAACTGGCTTGTCTGCATCCGTGAGCAAAGATTATTTTGCATTGCTATCTGTTACCTACAACTGACAGAGTTGTAAAATAGCTCAAAGGTAATGAAAGTGGCAGAGCCCCTCTGGAATCAGAATTAGATGACCCTGAGGGATGTGCTCTAGACCGGGTATTGGCAAGTGTATTCTATAAAGGGCCAGATAGTAAATATTTTAGGTTTTTGCAAGCCATACAGTATTCGAACATGAAAGTCACCATAGACATCTGGGAAGGAATGAGCATAGACTTGTGGCAATAAAACTTTATTTATACACACACGTGGCAGTCCCTATCTGGCCCCTTAGCAATCGTTTTCTGGCCCTGCTCTAAAGAATGAATAATCTTCCACTGATGCACATGTTTTCTCCAGTAGATTAAAAAAAAAAAAAAAAAAGACACTTTCATGAGTTGAATTGTGTCCCTCCTCAAAAGTCACACATTGAAGACCTAACCCCACTACCTCAGAATGTGACAGCATTTGGCGATAGAATCTTTAAGGAAGGAATTAAGTTAAGATGAGATTCTGAAGGTAGACCCTATCTCAATAGGACTGGTGTCCCCATGAGAATAGGAGATTAGGACACAGACACATACGGAAGACCGCGTGAAGATACAAAGAGAAGACGGCCATCTACACGCCAAGGAGAGAGGCGTCAGGAGAAACCAACTCTGCTCACACCTTGATCTCAGCCCTCCAGCCTCCAGAACTGTGAGAAAATATGTTTCTGTTGTGTAAGCCGCCCCAGCGTGTGGCACTTTCACTAAGGGAGCTGGAGCAGACTCACAGATGCCTCTCACTTGTGAAAAGATGGTTATCCACTCAAGTGAGTAGGTTAGACCGATTTCTCCCTAAAGTTATTTTGTCAAACGCAATATGTCAAGAAGCACTTCCAAGGTGGAGGTGGGGAAAGGGTTTTGATGTCGGATCAGTTTAGCATCTATAGCAAATCATAGCTCCTTCTTAAAAATCTGCTAGGATCTCAGAGCATCAAAGCTCTCCAGATGTCCACCACGATACCTGTTTTAACTTTGCCATAGCCTAGAGCTTCCCAAGTCGGAATGCTTTTTTTGAAGGTACAATTGTTTTTTGTTTAAGTGCCTTTATTTTTCATAATCTGTACATCCAACGGGGGTCTCAAACTCACTACACTGAGATCGAGGGTCACATACTCTTCTGACAGAGCCAGCCAGGTGCCCTAAAGTTATAATTCTTAATAATAAATCCTGTCTTCTTGGAACACACTTTGGAAACAGTAGGGTGAGCAAAATGGAGACAGGTATTCTGAGAATGTAAAGATGCCTGCGGGCCGAGCCTTGGGGAGCGCAGGATTCAGAGGGCTGGAGTCGAGAACACGAGTGTGTCCCAAGCAGGGGCAAGGGGGGGACTCCTGTGCCCAGACCTGGGCCATGGAGGTGGAGAACACGAGGGGCCAGACTGCTCAGAGATAATCTCTCACGGATATGTGTCAGAGGAAGGCTGGTCCTCAGGGAAAGATTGTTATCTCTGTGTCCATGAAGGACCCGAGGTCTCAGTATCCTGTTGTAGAACAAGGAATGGTAGCCAGAACACCTGGCCCTTGGCGTTTGGGGCCCCGCGATCACCTCCCAGCAGAACTTGAAAGCCCACGATGCCTCCTTGGTGTGCGCCACGCATCAATGGTGTAAGAGCCGGGATGGTGCGCACAATGTCAGCCTCAGGCCCCCAGATGGCGCACGGAACCCACGGTGCACGGGCCCCCGTCTTCGGTCTGTCCCAGCGCTGGCCCAAGGCCCGTAGGAAATGTGTTACTGTGTCTCCTCTTGCCCAGCGGCCTGCAAGGTTTTCACTCTTTCCAAAGCTCATCTGTAGAGAAACATGTGAAACACCATATTGTACAGCTGTGCTTTTCTCTCCTTTTGCTCTTGGGGACAGGCCATCAGTGCTTCCCCTTGTCTGAAGAGGCTCAGAGCCCAGGGTCCTCACGCATATTCTCACCGGAACAAGAAGTGGGGAAATACTTAGCTTCCATTTTGAAACCCGCAATCTTGATGAAATGCAATTGCTGGGGGGAGGGAAATATTTCCGGGATTGTTTATTAGGGCAACCGCATTTCTGGCCTGAAAACAGACGGCAAACACTTCGCTACTCTGGTATTCTGACTGTGAACACAGTGGGGTGTAAGGTTTTTACGTAATCCCAAACCTCAGCCGGGAAGAGTTAATGATGTTACTCATGCCACCAGGGCATGAAAGGAAAGCTTGCATTTTTGGGTGGTTATTGCTTGCCCAGAGCGGTGGAATGAGCCATGAGGCTGAAAGCCAAGGGACTTGGGCCACCCATGCAGTGAAATAATCCCTGAGAAATGTACTGCTTGGAGTGGAAATGAAAGTAAAGTGAACAGTCATTCAGGGCATTTACTAAATATTACTGACAGTCATTCAGTCTCAAGTTTGCTTGATGCTCCACACTGCGCATCTCAGATTCGAGATCTATTACATAGATCACAGGAAATGATTGGCATTAAGCAGTTGGAACACTGTTCTCGTCAAGCTCTGGGTCGTAAGCAGTGAGCTCTGTTCTTGTTTTGAGTTCCAACAGGAATGAATAATTAATAACCTAGTTTTTGAATGGAAAGTACATTTCAATGGATGGGTGACGCTTTCAGAAGGGCCTCTGAGGGTTTCTGTTTATTTCCTTCTTTTTCTCTCTTTCTGCAGTGGGGCCCTGGATGAGAAGAAAGAAGCAATATTCAAATGTGTGATGGCCTCTGTCTTTGACCCATGGGAGACGCATGTGAATAAAGACAAGTGGAATCTAAGGCCGACATCGCGTCTACAACAGGCTAGGCACTCTCGTCCACGCCTCGTAAGTACTTTCGTGATCTTTGTGGCAACAATTTGGTAGTTGGCATTGGCCCAGTTTCTCAGATGAGGTAATGAAGCTCAGAGAGGTTCAAAGATTTGCCCGAAGTCACACAGCTAGTAGGTTTGAGAGCCGGGACTTGCAACCAGGCATGCCTGACTTCAAAGCCTGACTTCAAACCTGGGTTCATTCTCCTAGACTCCCAGGACCTCCAAGTCGGGACTGAGCTGGGAGGCCATTTAGGTGAACCCTCGAAATAATGTAGGCATTCTTCTGGTGTTCTCCAGAAGCTGAAAGCCAAACAGTTTATAAATGTGCTTGGTGAGCCTAAAAAGAAATAAGAGCAACGCTTCAGAACGCAGACAGAGGGCAACATATAAATGTGGGTTGGGGCGGGATGGCCACAGTATCCTGAAGCTGTGTGTGCTGTATGTAAGGACTCAGGGGAACGCTCAAAGCACTCTGCCCCGTAACCCCCCCCCCCACGTCCCAGAAAGATACATCGTGGTCAGAAGCACCCTCTTCGTATGAGAGCAAGTCAACTAAGTGGAGTGGGGGTGGGTGAGCGGCTTCAGGCCACACACATGGGTGGAAGGGCCAGAAATAGAACTTCACGTCGTGGGCCTCGCTGGTGCCTCCATGTTGCTCGTCCTTGCCACCTCACACATCTCTTGCCATGACTCGCTCAGTGTGAATTCGGTGAGGAAACCCAAAACCAGGTTTCAGTTTTCATTACATACCGGAAACTTGGCCTCAGATCACTAAAAAGTTCACTGTGGTTTGTGAACCTGGTGAGCCGAAGGAGCCAGGCTTCTGCCATGTCTCTGCCCCCACCGGTGCCCGCGGGGATTTATGGGGGTGAGCAGGAACCGGGGGCCAAGGTGCCTGCACGGCCGTTCCAGGGCGCACGCCGGCCTGGCCTGACACGGGCCGTCGGGAGCCTCTGCAAATCACGGCCGCTGCTGCGGAGTTCTGTCGGAGCTCCAGGCGGGGAATGGCTTTCTGGGGAGAAACAGAAAAGGAGGGAGTGATTTAGGAGGTGTGCATATTCATTTGCAAATGAAGTTATGGAAGTTGCCAGTGAGATTTATATTGGTAATTACGTGATAATGGCTGTGCGAGGCTGCTTGAGTTGGATTTCCTGCAAAATAACGGAGTCCCTTTTGAGACACGTCTTCTTGTTGCGCATTTTCAGAAACAATTTCAGTTTCTACAGTACTTTCTGCTAACTAGTAGCTCCTCAAAGCACCCTTGTAAGGCAAGCCACCGGGGGAGCCCCCGGGCGCATTCCCCAAAGATTGTCCGTCTCTATGCGGGGCATTGATCAGATCTCCCTGACTCTTGTCCCAGAGTCACAGGGGAAGGACGAGAAGGTGCCCTTCGAAGGGCATGGCCAAGTGGAGAATGTTCTGTTTTGTTTTAAATCCTCAAGATCCTCAGGGTGGGGATGCCTGGGTGGCTCAGTTGGTTAAGTGTCCGACCCGGGTTCCGTTTAGCTCATGATCTTATGGCTCGTGGGTTTGAGCCCCACATCAGGCTCTGTGCTGACAGTGCACAGCCTGCTTGGGATTCTCTCTCTCTGCTCCCACCTGCTTGCATGCACTCTCTCTCTCTTTCAAAATAAATAAATAAGTGAAAAATAAATAAATCCTCAAGATCCTTTAAAGAACCAGCCTGAAGTGACCCAGTTTAATTAAGAAAACCAAGGAAATCATGAAGAAGCCAGGTATGAAGACCATGAAAAGACCTTGCAAGAATTCCAGTCCAAACTGCTATGTAAACAAGTGATGGCCTCCCTTCCCATGCAGGCTGTCCGGGGCGGGGGGTGGGGAGGGGGCGAGAATATCTGCGAGGGTGGGAGAAAGGAATAAATGAGAAAAGCATCTGGGTCAAATCCAGACTGGCTAATTAGTCCTTGATTAATTAATAGCCACCACCTCCTTACATATATTGTTGTATATTTTGAAAGAGAGAAGACACACTTAACTTCTTAGGTGCGCTGTAAAGAGTTACCTCTCTTAGAAAGTCATGGGGTTGCGGTTTTCTTATTTTCCCCTTTCCTTTAATGGTGGAAGTCTAAATAAATATTCAGTCCTAGGATGAAGCCCGTAGCAAACACTTCGTGCAATACTTTACTGGTTTCTATATTCATTCAGGGTGCAGCTCGCTTAATGGGCAGTGCTGAAAAGCTTGGCTTCTTTTCATGTTTGTCCTCTTTCAGGGTTTTTAGAATACTCTTTCAATTCTTTCGGTGATAGGAGAGAGAGCTCAAGGGCTTGGACGTCTGTGAGCGGACTGACAGGTTTTCAAAATTATGGTGCACGTTGATTCAGTGAAAGAAGTAAGTGCTGACTTTTCCCTTTGGGTCTTTGGCATTGGAATCTGCAGCCGCCATCTATAAATACAGTAGGGGATTCGGTGAGGCACAAAAGCGCGGCGCTGGTCCACATCAGATGCGCGCTCGGCATCTTTCTGGTTGGAGGGGAAGAAAGTGCCCAACACGAGGCACCATCAGGAGTTCAGAGGGGGCCTCTTTCGGATGCTCTGGCAAGACGAGGGAAGTTCAAAGACAAGAGGAGGTGGGCTTGCTGGGTCCTGAAGCAATCCTACGACCAAGGCCACAGGAGACAGAAGAAAGGGGGCTCCAGGAATCAAAGCTCTGCCCGGCCTGCTGATGCCCTGTCGATCCTGAGAGGTCGCTGGGAGAGGCAAGTCAGAGGGGCGAGTGCTAAACAAGGGATTCTGAACGTGCTCATTTACTCAAGAGGATTCTTTCTTGTCTTCAGAGTATGGAAAGAAAAATAGTTAATCAAATGTCTAAAGGTGTGACATGCTAGAAACGCAGCATATGTATAGACACACATAAATATATACACATATATACACACAAATATATACATATATACACACATACACACACACACACATAAATATATACACATATGTACACACATATATAGACCCACATAAATACACACATATATAGACACACATAAATATATACACATATATACATACACACAAATATATACACATATATACACATACACACCCACATAACACCCACATAAATATATACACATACATACATATACACACACACATACACCCACATAAATATATACACATATATACACACATATATAGACACACATAAATATATACACATACATACATACACACAAATATATACATATATACATATACACACACATATACACTCACATAAATATATACACATATATATAGACACACATAAATATGTACACATATATACATACAAACACACATAAATATATACATATATACATATATAGACACACATAAATATATACACATATGTACACATATAGACACACATAAATATACATATATACACATACATACACACACATACATATACAGACCTACATAAATATATATACACACACATACATATATAGACCCACATAAATATATACACATATATACATATTCACACATATTTCCAGACACACAAATATATACATATATACACATATATACACACATACATATATAGACCCACATAAATATATATACATATATGCACACATATATACATATATAGACCCACATAAATATATACATACTTAAGGCCTATACATATATATGTACACACACACATATACACACATGTACATACCATATATATACACACTTAGGGCTTATACATATATACACACATGTATACACACAGACACACATATAATACATGTACACATGTAACATATATATACACGTATATATAATTAGGACCTATGTGGGTGTGTACACACACACATATACCCTTACACGTATACTTAAGGCCTATGGTATATATATATATATATATATATAGTAGCAAGATCTTTATTAGTGCAGAATAGTATATGAAGTGTATTTTGAAGATGGCTGTTTGCTAGGGTTTCCAGAGATGAACCGAATTGTCATATTAAGTTTAGTATAACTCGTTACCTTTTTCTTCTCTTACTTGGCTACTTCTGGTGCTTCCCCAAAGATGTTAGTTTTAAAAAGTCACCACCAATCTCCAAAACCTAAGGAAAAGCCCAAAATCTTGGTATTAAAAGACTGTAAAGCCCAGTTATCTCTCAGAATTGCCCAAAGACACAGAGGACAGGAGGGAAAGCTGTCAAGCGGGCGTCTGAACGCGCCAGGGCACAGAAGTGCGAGCCACCGTCGGAGGCTTGCTGCGTGCTAGACGCGCCCTCCAGCACTGCGCACCCGTGAGGCTCTCAATACGGAATAAGTGAAGAGCCAGCCAGACGGGCTCGCTGTGATTTCAGCGTGGGCTCCTCCTTTCCCTCACCCCTCTGCCCCCACTGCCTTTTACTACATCATCGAAGATTTAAATATCCGCTTTTCCCTCCCTCCTCCCAAATTTCCCTCCTTTTCTGTGCCTCCCCCCACCCCCGCCGTACCTGCAAGATAGCTTTACCCATCCACCTGTAACAGGAAAGAGGTGCGAGAGAGCTGACCCCCAGTGACGGGCTGGGCCGCCCTGGCTCAGTCCCTGCATCCCTTGACCTCAGCTCCCTCACCACTCAGATCTCACTTTCAGGAGGAGTGTTCAGCAGTGTCCCCGGAGAAGACACGTTGAAGTCCTAACCCCCCATACCTGCAAATGTGGCCTTATGTGCAAAAAGGGTCTTTGCAGATGTAGTCTAGTTAAGATGAGGTCGTGCAGGAGGAGCGTGGGCCCGTAATCCAGCGTGACTCGCGTCCTTGTAAGGGAGGAAGACGCCCACCAGAAGTACCGCAGACACAGGCAAGGACGTTACAGCACCAGAAGCCAGACGAGGCGAGGAAGAACCCTCCAGAGGCTGCAGAGAGAGCAAGGCCCTGGTGACATCCTGATTTCTGACTTTCAGCTTCCAGAATCAAAAGGCAACCGTTTTGATTGTCAAAGCCACTCAGTTTGCGGCACTTTGTCCCAGCAGCCCTGGCCACCTAACACAGGGCGCTGGGGGGGGGGGGGGGGGGGGGGGGGAGTGGTTGAAAACCCTGGGCTTTGAGATCCGATCTGAATTGGAGTCCAGGTGGAATGACCTCCTAGCTCCTGATCTGGGGCAAATTTCTCACTGCGCCTCATTGTCTCGGGAGACCTAAGTGGCTTATGCAAGGGAGACTGTAGGACGTACGCACACCTGCTTCTTCCTCATTCCCTCTCGCTGCCTCTCTCCCTCCCTCCAGACCTCCTCTACTCTTCCAGTCTTCCAAACGTGGCCTCTTACAGCTTCAGCCCCTAACTCTTACCCCAATGGGCTGTGCTCGGAGAACGGGGGCCACCATAGCTTCCTACGCTTGTCAAGAAAGGTTGACAAGCTGAGGCGAAGGCACAGGACACAATATGTAGAGTTACTCTGAGATCCGTGGTAAACATAAGGGAGCACTGTTTTTGTCTGAGTTTGTCACATCCCGGTGAGGACTTCCTGTCCGTCCTGGTGGCTCTGACACCCTCAGCTCTCCCCTAGCCCTTCCCGAGTCTTCCTTCCCATCTTCCCACCCTCCACCTGGATCCGTCCCAGGCCTCACGTCCTCGTTTGAGACTCTCCTCCCTCCAGAAAGTTCCCCAGCTACCCGCATCTGCTCACGTTCCTTCCTTTTTGAATCCTTATTAGCCTTATGGTTATTTTCATGTAGCTTCTAGATGGTCCCTGGCTTAGATTCTAGGCAACCTGTAGGCAGGAAGCCTGCCTTATTGCGCTCTCGGCTTGCCGGGGCCATTCGGCCCATTTTCAGGCATCAGGGGGTCGTGGCAGCCACCCTGGTCGGGTCACAGCCTTCTCTGCTCTTCAGAAGGCTGTCTCCTGGCTCACCGGGGACTCTGGAGGCAGGACGCAAGCCCGTGTACCTGCAAACCACGAGGACGTGCGGCAGAGTGACCATACTTCTGGGCCCTGGAGCTGTTGCTCCACGAAGACTTGGCAAAGCGACCGATTCACCTTTCTGCACCCCACTTCCACTCCAGGCTCGCAGGGTTTCTGTCTCCCTGAGAAACCGGGTCCGGGAAAGCTACTCTCTTATCTACACCGGCCGGGGCAGCGTCTCCGGCCGTCTCCTACCTTCACCCAGGGTTTGTCTCACTCCGGAAGCCCCAGCCAGCAGGATGGGGCCCCTGGGCTGTTCCAGACACGGGGTCAAACTGGGAGATGTGACAGAAAAGCTCCGTTACGAGGGCAGCGAATCAGGACCTTTGTCAAGAGGAGACAAAGCCTTGCCTGGGAGGGCCCTTCTCAGAGGCCGAGACGCAGCTGAGCAGGTCGGGCCCTTCAGAGACTTTCAAGCCCCGGAAGGCGACAAGGCCCGTCTCCAAGAGTAACTTGATATAAGACAACACTAAACACGAATCCCAAACTGTTCAGGTATGCCGAAATTAAAATAGCTTCTTGCTAGGGTTTTTTTTTTTTTTTTTTTTTCTGTCAATGAAATTCTAAGTATGTTCACTGAAGCTGGACTTTTCTTCCTTCCTCTCTTTGTCCATTTCTTCCTTCTTCCCCCTTTACCTGCTTCCTCTTTCTTTTTGTCCTGTTTGCAATTTCCCTGAGCAAGAGCATAAGCGACTTATGGAGAATGGGGAACAAGTATTCCTCCATTACTGAGAGCTCTTCCAGCTTGGAGGCTCCGAGAGTCTATGAAATGACTTGATCAAGAGAGAGCAAATCTGGGCTTTGAAGTCCGACATTCCTGGTGCCAACTCCTAGCTCTCATGTTTACTCGCTGCGTGACCTCGGGCAAGCTACTTAACCTCTCTGAGCCGAGGTTCGTCATCGGAAAATCTAGGCCAGTGCCAACTACCAATGCACTGCTGTGAAGATAAACTGAAAAAATATTTATAAAACACCCGGCAAGCTGACAATGGAAGAATGGGTCAGAAAACCTCCCGCTGGAGAAGCTGGGAGGAGGCCTACCTGAGCAGAGCGGGGCTGCACGCAAGGGTGTGGTGTGCGGGGCGGGGCGGGGGGCGTGGCGTGTGGTGTGGGCGTGGCGTGTGGTGTGGGCGTGGCGTGGGCGTGGCGTGCGAGGACTCCGAGGCTAAGCTGCAAGTCCCCTTTGCCTAGGGGATTCAGCTGTGTTGCTTAGAGGAGCCACTAGGCTCAGCTCATTTCCCAGGGGCTGGCCCTGCTTCTGTTCTCTCTGTCCTTTTTGTGCCCGTGGCTTCTTGTGAACAACCCAGGTCTGTACCTGGGACCTCTGCCCCCACATTGCGCCGTCCCTGTGAGTTCACACACCCGATCACTCAGTGATTTGTCCTGGGCCTGCCTCTAACTTGGCTGAATTCATCCCCCCACCCTCCCCAGTCTGGACTTTCTAACCGTCGTTCCTTTTTATTATTTCATTAACTCCACGAATAGTTTTGGGGGTTCCGCAGGGCGCCAGGTGCTCCCGGACCCCCAGCACTTGTCCATCTGTCCCAGGATCCTGCAGCTTTCCATCAGCTCCGGAGTGACCCCCCCACGCTCAGGACTGTCCCTCCCTTCCTGAAGGCTGGCTCTGCTGCAGGGCCCCTTAACCCCCTGCCAGCCCCAAGTCCTGACACTCTGCGGATAGTTGTTGATTAAATGAACACACAGAAAAGGATTTTTTTTAATTACTACCCCTTCCAGATTCCCCAGCCCTCTTTCACACTGATGTAATCCAAATTACCCTGCACTGTGATGAGTTAAACGCTAGCAGCTTGGTGATTGTGCATAAGCAGTTTCTAGCTCTCAGGCAGCCATTATCCGCACCTCTGTGAGGTTCTGATTTTCAAGTATCCTTAGGGCTTAAAAATGCTAATGGTGGCTCTCTTCCTATAACTATGATAATACTTAGCCCTTGTGTCCTGCCACATAAAATCAGTTCAAGTGCGCCCACACCCCCTGGTGAGGTAGGTCCCTTATTAGCGCTCTGTCGTCAATGAGCAGCTAAGGGGTGACCCGGTTTGGCTAAGGCCTTTGATCTGAAGCAGTCCCGCCCACTCCTGCCCTGGAGGTATAGGCTGTCCCCTGAGAGTGTAACGTGCGGCACCGTTCTGGGACCCCAGCCCCCCAAGGATCTGAGCAGGAGGGTGGCAAACGCCCTGTCGGAGACATTACGGAACAATCATCTGTATATGCAATTAGGCATGTAAATTGTGAAAATTAGGTTACGGTTCTACTGCCTGTCAAAACAGCAGCTTTTCCAACAGCGTCAAGAAGTTGGTGGCCTGTGAGAGGGGGTGAACAGGGTCCCCCGCCGTCCCAGGTTTAGAAAGCAAGCTGTCCGGAGCGGCATGGGTCCAAGGCATCCAGAACAGTCCAGGCAGCGGGGCAAAGCTGGCGATCCCCTTACCTGGCATGCCCTGCCCCCATTGTGTCCCCTCACCGTGGCCCCCTCCCTACCATGTGGGCTGCAAGTGAAAAAAAAAACCAAAAACACAAAAAACACACAAAAAACGATATCCAGGGAAATAATGCACTAATGTACATAAGAATCCTTGCACGCATGTAAAACGCACGTTCGTAAGACAGGAGTCCGAGCTCTAAGGACCACAAGACAAGGCAAATAGCTCTTCTTCCAGCTGTACAAATGGTTCAGTGAATCTGTTCCACATTTCTCAAATATTTTCCTGGAGCTTCTGTCTTACCTGTAGATTAGTTTTTCTCTGTTATTTAAGGCAGTATTCTTTTTTTTTTTTTAAGGTTTTTGTTTATTTCTAGGAGAGAGAGAGAGACAGCGTGAGCAGGGGAGGGTCAGAGAGAGGGAATCACAGACTCTGAAACAGGCTCCAGGCTCTGAGCTGGCAGTCAGCACAGAGCCCGACGCGGGGCTCGAACCCACGAACTGCGAGATCATGACCCAAGCAAAAGTCAGACGCTTAACGGACTAAGCCACCCAGGCTCCCCAAAGCAGTATTCTTATAATGAAACAAACAGATGCATTTTGGACTGGAATGCATAGATTCCACGAACTTTAAAATTTTTTTTATTTTAATTTTTTAAAAATTTTTACTCTTTATTTTTGAGAGAGAGAGACAGAGTGCGAGCAGGGGAGGAGCAGAGACAGAGGGAGACACAGAATCCAAAGCAGGCTCCAGGCTCCGAGCTGTCAGCACAGAGCCCTATGCCGGGCTCAAACTCACAGACTGTAAGATCATGACCTGAGCTGAAGTTGGACATGCAACCGACAGACCCACCCAGGTGCTTCAAATTCCACAAACTTTTAAGAGAAAACACACATTTTCAAAGAAATCACGTGCTTCTGGCCAGAGAAACGTATTTACATCTTTTGGGTCTCGGGCACTCCTAGGGGATCCACTTTGAAGATCACTGCATGAGTTTCCGCCATGGAAGGCAGAGAGTACAATCTCTGTTAGGGGTGGAGGTGGGAGCAGAGAGAGATAAAGGTCGTGTCCTGGATGGCCCACGGGCAGCTTAGAGTGGTCTGAGCTCTTGGCCTGCGGCAGCTGCGCCCTGAAAGGTTAGGAGGTGAGCACCAGGGATAGGAGAAGCCAAGATGGAGAGAGGGGGAGGCGGAGTCCCCAGAGAGACCCCTGCTACCTCACAATGAAGCCGTAAAGCTCTACCCCAAGCCAACCTAGGTGCACTTCAAGACCATAGCTTTTTCCCCCTGGAAGGAACTAGAAACGCTCTAGTCCAATCGCCTCCTTTTCCAGTCTGGGAAACTGAAATTCAAAGCCTTTAAGTGACTTGCAAGAGGTCACATGCCAAATCAGTGCCAGAGTCCCTTTTTAATCTGAATGATGTTATCAAGAGTATTCATCAAGTTACAACGTGTATCAGCACGTAAAAGTAAGAGAGACAGGAAAGGGTAATCACAGACAGGAACAGAATCGTTTAGAAGCA